AAAGACATTTGCAAAATTTTTTTATAAATTTGGATGGAAAAAGAGCATAGATTCTAAGCAAATAGGATAACCAAAAAATTGACTTGCCTTTTCAGCAAGAAGATTTCCGGAGGAATCGCCTCGACCAGATGCTTCGAAAGTTTGGATGGACTTAACGAAAATGTCTTCCGGTCTGGTTTCCATCCCTGCCTTCGTCTTTTCTGAATTCTGGTTATTATCGACTTGCTCTTCCAGAAGATCATTCTCCTCTTGAGTTAACGTGAGTGAAATATGCGCCAGGTCAGCCGATTGGCTGCTCCAATTCTCCACACGCCTTGACAGCTCCACGAGACCACGCTCTCGATCCAACTGGTCACGAAGGTGGTCGTTCTCGGTCAAAGCTGCAGCAAGCCGATCTCCAACGGCCTCTAGATGTCCAAGAAGTCCGTTGATTGCCTTGCGGAATGCTTCCGACTTGGACTCCCCTGCTCCTTGGAGAGAAAGGCAAGCTGTCCAGTCATCATTCCATTGGAGTGAGACTTGACAAGTGATGAAAAACCAATCAAAAAGCTGGGAAAACTCATCAGGTTGGTCAGCCGGAATTTCTGGCCCAGCCCCTACAACACTTTCCCCAGGAATGGCTTCAGTAATCATTGGATCTGCTGGAGTGGCAAGAGAATGAGAGGTATCAGTTGCTATAAAAGTTCGAGGATTCAAGCGCACATCAAGGAGAAAAAGCGACAAGTCAGCCGCCTTATCCACCAGGCCGATCTTGGTCGTCCGCGCCATAACACCCATGTCACACAGGCTCTGTTGGCATTCAGAGAGAAGACAGTCAAGACGAGTGAGACGAGAAAGGCCAGCACCAGCTAGAGAACACAATTCGACGAGATCAAGCACCGCTTTGCGTAGCCTCCGTATACTCGTCAGGTCAACTGATGCCTTATCCTCGTGTGTCTCTGTCTCGATCACGCACTCCAGCTGATCACTTACACTAGGCCCGTTCACCTGAAGCAAAGTGGTCCACTCGACCGATTCGGCCCTCAGTACATCAGCCAAATAAGTCAATTGTGGGACCGATTCAACAATGACGCCTTGTAGTGCATTGATAGCTACCAAATGTAGAGGGCACTCTGGACAGTTTGGCATCCGCGATGAGCCAGCCAGGCATAAGTCAACGCATAACTGCTCGGGGCTTGATCGGAGCTTAGATTCATTTGCTGGAGGAATTTTACAAAAGATGGCTTTTGAATCAAGTTGGCTCTGGAGACCAGTAGTTAAGGCATTTCGCGGCCTTAAACCTTCATTCAACTCAATAAATGTATCAGGCGTATAGGCATTATCTTGACGAAGGCAGGATAATTCACTCTCTTCATCTTCAGTCTGCTGAGAGAAATCATTTCTTAGTGTCGACCTGTCGAGGTTATTTGGAGGGTCTTTCTCAGTTTTGTTTTTTAAGACGCTCGAGTACATGTATTCCGAAGTCTGCTCTTCAAAAAGCGAGTCTTCTAATGACAATTTCCCTATATGGGTAAAGTTACTGACTTTGAAAGCAGGTTCATCATACGCCTTGCATACATTCCCATCCAGCAACTGTTGAGGCTTAGAGAGTAGGTCAATCCCCTGATATAATGAAGTTTCCTTATCGTCCTCAATTTTGCACGACAGGTTAGCTTTGAAGTTGCCTACATCACATGAAAAATCGGCTCGCTGTTGGATAGCGAGAGAGAAATCGGCTGACGACGATGATGCCTCTATCGGGAGAGCAGCAGTGGAAGGGGTCCCTTTGGTCTTATATCGAATAAGTTCATGAGTAATATTTGAGATGTGTTTGGCACTAGCCTCCAGTTCAGTCCGCAGCCTGTTCACTTTGGAATGAAGGCCTTCCTCAAGCTCGTCAAATCGGGCTAAGCGCTCATGAGCTTCTGTAATGTCTTGCTGGCAACGACGATGCTTCTCAGCCAGACAAGCATAAGCTAGATTTTGGGCTTGCAAGCGCTGATGAAGCAGTTTACATTCTCGCAGATGTACTGAATAATAATGAGAATGAGACTCTTTTGGTTGATTTTTACCACGGTGAAGACAATCGTGATTAAATCCGATATTAGAGATTGAATTAAGAGAAGAGAATCGAAGCTCAGGTAAGGAATGCTGAATGAACCGGAGACTTAGTCGGTCATCAGGATTGACCTTGGTGAGAAATTCGAAGATGGTTTCCGTAGCGAGAACAAAGGGTTCACTATAGACCGTATCTGGTGCGCTGCTATATCTGCGTCTAGTATTTAGGCAGGGCTGAAGCTTAGAAGTCTAAAATTGTATATGAAAAAAACAGATAATAGAATAAATAAAGAGCGCACAAGTGAATAAATATCTAAATGAGCAGATTAACATATTTAAAAAGACCATAGCAATATGGATGGCAAAAACGAAAATATAAAGAAAGCATAAAAAAGTATACAATGCAGAATATATGTAGTTTAGCACGATAGATTGAGTCAATCTTCCACGAATAGGTAGCCTAGGAGAAAAGAGAGGCAGAAATTTAGACACAAAAGGCTTAAACAAATATAAATATGCAAAACACTATTTTAAAAAGACTGGCTGATGTAATAAGAAAAGCGAAACTCAACAGAATTTTCATTAGAAATATTTTTGCCAATGCCAAAAGATTTTTAAGTCATAAATTTCATCAGTCTAAACAGAGAAATTATACAAAAATGGGCTTATATAATCCAAATTGTTTGTAGGCTCAATCAAATGACTAGTGTCAACAAAGATAAGATAAGAGAAACACCACATTAAGTTATGGTTTGACTTAGCCATCGTAAAATAGCAATGGTAAATAGGAGACAAGTTAGGCCTTAGTAAAAGCAGCGCCGTTTATTGTTGTGCCGAATTTGCATTGGGTAACTGATTGAGTAGATTTTCAGGCGTTTATGAAGAGTCAAATTGGGTAATATTGATGAGAACTCCTGGTATGAAGTGAAAATAATTCATCCAAGTGATCAATCTGAAAAAAAATCCGTATTTATGGGCTCCTTCAACTTAGTGTTTTTATGAGTCTGGTTAGCTGCTCATTCATAAAATCAAGAACACATATAGGAATGTGCACGAAATACGCTTAGTCTAAATCAAAGGCTCTGTCTTTACTATTTTTCGTATATAAGCTGAGTCTTTACTAGCCTTTTGCAACAGCCTAGCTCAGTCCGAAACTTTCCTGTGAACTTTATTGACGCCATTTCTTGTTCATGAACTCAGAAAATATCAGCCCAGGCCATACACCAACTTTAGCCACTGTGCGGTGTAGTCTATCTGGATGACTAAATCTCACCCTATTTCACTTCTTGAGTTGTTCATATTTTATCTATCTATTCTAT